GGAGAAGACAGCCAGCGCCGCCGCTGCCGCTTCTTCCCGGGCCCGGGTGTCGGCCCCGCCCCGGGCCCCGGCTCCGGCCCGGTGTCCAGCCCCGCCATGAAGTGTCACTACGAGGCACTGGGGGTGCGGCGCGACGCCAGCGAGGAGGAGCTCAAGAAGGCCTATCGGAAGCTGGCCCTGAGGTGGCACCCGGGTAGGTGACCGGCGGGCGGGGAGCCTCCCCGTGGCTCGCGAGACCCCGGCCGGGTCGATCCCGCCAGCCGCCGGGCCTGGCGGGGCTAACACGGTAGGGACAGCGCGGCCCTGCCCGCACCGCCGAGGAGAGGCGGACTCGGCGTGCAGCCGCCTCCGACTCCTGCGGCCGGCTGCCGGCCCCTCACGCCGTCCGGCCGGGGTCTGGTTTTTAAACAGGCCCGCTCGCGCCCGCTTTCAGAGTTCCCAGGCTCCCGGAGACCCGGCTCCGCACAGGACACGAGTTTTCCCCGGCGCGTTCTAATTAGGAAGACTGTCCAGAGGACTGGGCTAGGTTACTTAGGAGTTTGCTTCCCCGGGATGGTTTCTGTTGCTGTAAAACGGGTCTGCATGACTTTGACGAAACTTAGTAGTTGAACCCCGTCTGTTTGAGATTCCTGAGGCTCTCTTCCGCCTCTCTGGGTACTGGGAATTCAAGCCAGCGCCGCGCACCTGCTGGCAAGCACTCCGCCATCCAGGACACTCGCCCCTGTTTTTAACGAATCGTTTTGAGATGGGGTCTCGCTATGTTGCCAAGGCAGCCTTTGAGCATGTGATCTTCCAGCCTCACCTTCACAAGTAATTGGGATTATTGTTCATTGCCACCAGGCTTGGGTTATTTCACGTGAAAGAAATAGTCACGGTAGATAAGTCCAAAGAAAATGTAGAAATGGCAGAAAAACATTGACATAGAGTAATGGCTAATGTTTTTTTTTTTTTTTTTTTTGTGACAAGGTTTCTCTGTATAGCCCTGGCTGTCCTGGAACTCACTCTGTAGACCAGGCTAGCCTCGAACTCAGAAATCCGCCTGCCTCTGCCTCCCAAGTGCTGGGATTAAAGGCGTGCCCCACCACCGTCCGGCATGGCTAATTATCACTAGAAGGTGAGTTAGGAATTGGAAGGAAGTTAGGAGTGCCTTGATTGTCAGAATGGGAAAGGGCAAGACAGAGAATTAATTCTAAGGGCAGATACATTTGCTTTGCTAGGGGAACAAGGCAGGAGAAGTCTCTGTCATGGTTGGACATGCATTCTGGGGAGACACAGGAAAGAAAACAGGCAGTTTGAATCCTAGAAGCGAATGTCTGCGTGAGGGCGGATTGAACTGTTGATGAGTCCTTGCCTGGCCAGCTTTGTGTCTGTGGATGAGAGATGGGGAAAGCCACCTGGGAAATATGGCTGGGAAGGAACTTGTAGTGGAGACACAAAATGATAGGGTGGCAGCGTGCCTATTGGAGAGAGGAGGAAGGGAAGGAGCGTAAGAGAGAGGCTGGCATAACCAACCAAGTAGGAGCAGGCCAGGAGGGATGTGCAGAAGTCTAGAGTAGGATTTTAGCCTAAGAGCTTAGAGCTTTGGTAGACCGTAGAAGAACTGGAAACAGCAGCGTCGTAAATGCCAGTTTTTCAAGTTTCTCTCTGGTTGTAATGGGAGAGTGTGTTTCAGGGAGGGAGGCCAGCCTGGAGATGAGGCCAGGAGTACCATAGTGGAAATACTGAGCAAGATGCTAGTTTCTCAGTGCTTGAGAGGAGTGGCTCGAAGACAAGAGCACAGAGAGAGGGAGGAGATAGTGAAACAGTGGTGGTAGAGGAGACCACTAGAAGGAACAGTGATAAAGGGTCAGTGAGCAGGCACAGGCCCGCATCACCACGGGGCTGCCGTAGGTAGGAGTGCTGCTGTATCAAGAGGAGTAGAGACCTGTGAAGAAGTGGTGCCTTCTCAGAGCAAGCTTTTGCAAGGGGCAGCCCAACGAATCTTCAGAAGGCATCCTAAGAAGGTTTAGGAGGTAACAGCAGAGTATGGGCTTGTGTCAAGAGAAAACCACAGAGAATAGTGCAAGGATGGGCGCCTGGTAAACTTCAGAGACTGTGACACCTGTGCCAAAATGTAGACTCCTTTATTGCTTGTTTGTTAGACTCTGGCTGTTAGTTCGACAACCATCTAGCTCAGATAAACTTATGTAAAGTGAAAGCCATGTGACCGATTGAAAACATTATTTAAGAGAAAAGTTCCACTCAGAAGTTATATCTTGTTACTAGATGGTATATGCATGGGTTTTATGTGTTTAAAAACTTTCTACAAACTTCTTTGGGGAAGGAATGGGAAGAAGTTGGACTAGGTGCAGTACTGATAAAAAGGAACACACACACACTAGTCACGGGAGAATGAATGTGTAAAGACAAGGGTTTGTGCTAGTTGCCTTTTAAGTAAGATTTTTTTTGTTGTTGTTTTGTTTTTTGTTTTCGAGACAGGGTTTCTCTGTGTAGCCCTGGCTGTCCTGGAACTCACTCTGTAGACCAGGCTGGCCTCGAACTCAGAAATCCGCCTGCCTCTGCCTCCCTAGTGCTGGGATTAAAGGCGTGTGCCACCACCACCTGGCTTTAAGTAAGATTCTTTTTTGTTTGTTTGTTTGTTTGTTTGTTTTGTTTTTCGAGACAGGGTTTCTCTGTGTAGCCCTGGCTGTCCTGGAACTCACTCTGTAGACCAGGCTGGCCTCGAACTCAGAGATCCGCCTGCCTCTTCCTCCCGAGTGCTGGGATTAAAGGCGTGCGCCACCACTGCCTGGCTTTTAAGTAAGATTCTTAAAACCCACTGTAGAATACTTTCATAGATTTTATTAACTTAGTCATGTGGTTACACCTAAACTTTAATGGTGAAGAACAGAAAAGAAGTACATTTGGGGTATGAATTTGTCCGATACAGTTCTTGTAATTGGGAGCTAAAGCTGGAGGAGGAAACAGCAGGTGGGTTAAGGGTACACTGTAACAAGGACCACCCAGGCCCACACCTTTTCCCAGGAGAGCAGTGGTTTTCCAGGAAGCATCACTTGGTAAACTTCTCTTTGCATCTTATTTCAGTTACTTTTCTATTGCTGTGATAACATGCTGCGACCAAGGCAACTTATCGAAAAAAGAGTTCTATCCTGTGTATGGTGGCTGAGTAGAAGGTGGCAGGTGTCTGGAGCAGCAGCTAAGAGCTTTAGATCTGCAAGTAGGGGGCAGAGAGAGCTAACTCAAAATGGTCTTAGTCTTCAAGTAATACGTCTCCAACAGGGCCACACCTCCTAATCCTTCCCAAACAATTCCACCAACTGGGACCAAATATTCAAACATTTGAGCCCGTGGGGGGGGGCATTCTCAGTCAGAACACAGTTGATTGGCTAATGCTGTCTTCAAGTGGGTGCACTCTGAAAGGGGCATTAGGATTATGTTGTTTCACTCCTCATGGACAGTGAGGTATACACAAAGCTATAGATAGCAGTTGGAAATTATTTTTCGTTAATGTAAGACTACTTTTAGTTTTACAGGATAAAAGAGTCGTGGCAAACTGCTACGCTTGGAAAAATATTAGTGTTAGGTATTTGGCAGAAAGCCACTCCTATGGCTTGGGATCGGGTGCTGCTGACAAATGAGAGGAGGCACAGTGCCCTCTGCAGCCATGGAGACAAATAGTCAGCTGCATGGCTGTTTGGACAAACACATTCTGTCATATCTTAAACTCTGAGAAGACAAGTATTGAGTAGTGGTAGCTTAAAGAACTTGATGTGTTCCATGTTAGATTCAAACATTTAATTTATGTATGTATTATCCACTTATGATGGGACAAAATTATCAAAGCCTTAGGGTTTAAAACAGCAAACAAAAACTGGTGTATATCAGTTCATTATGCAGATTCCGAGGGTTCTGAAGCATAGAATGTGGGAGTGGCTTAGCTTATAGCTTCTGCTAAGGCTGTCTCAGGTTGGGAGGACCTGCTTCCAGCCTCATGGACATGATTGTGGGCTGGTCTTCATTTGTTCCCTCCTACCCTCTGTGCTTCATCCCTTGAAGCTATTTGAATTCTTCACACTGTCACACGAGTATTCCTGGAGACGGCAAGAGCCCACAATGAGGTCTGCTGCCCAGTCCAGTCTCATCTCATCTCATCCCCTACCTTGCTTTCCTCCTGCATCTGCTGTTGGTCATTCCAGTACTACTGAAGGGGGACTTAAACACGAATGAAGCAGGTCAGTGCTGCTGCATTTGCAGGCAAAGTTGCTTTTGAGTTTTGTAGTTAAGGAAGCATAACTTATAAAAGAATAATTAGCACGTGTGTGCAAAAAAAAAAAAGGTGCACATGTGGAGGTAAGAGGTCAAATGGTAGCCGTGGATTCTTTCTTTCCTACCATGTGGGTCTCAGTGATTGAACTCAGGCTGTCCAGCTTGATGGGCAGTGTCTTTATCCTTT